CATGTGCACCATGTGGGTCAGTTCCCTGGCCGGGAATGGAACTCATTCAGCAGAGGCTGCAGGTAGCTTCATAGTGCTGAGACTTATCCCCTTGAGCCACCAGGGAGGCCCTGGGCAGATCATTTTTAATCAGCAAAATATCAGTTCCTAAAGACTGAGGTTATTTTAAACAACAGCAAACACAACACAGAGGAACTTTGTACTTTGCTTTCTTAGACCCAAACATTAATTTAAAACCCTTAGTCATTTTCAATTTTCAGATTTTTCCAGTAGAGAAATACCTAAAAGCACCCAGCAATAGGAGTAGTGAAGAGGCACAAATCATGACTATGCTGAAACTGACCTAGTTGACCATATAAGACTGCTTACTATAAGCTCTATTGAAAAATCAAATATCCCAAGAGGAATAAAACAGGGAAGGGAAGAAATAATCTTTATTGCTGAGAGAAGCAGATTAGGCAGAGAGTTGGCACTGCAGTAAGTTAAAAATTTCAAAACAGCAACATTTTTTGACAAAGCTTGGCTGTTTGATTCTGGATTGTAACTTTAAGACCACATGCAAATATTTCTTTTCATTTTTAGTCAGAGGAACAAGAGAGATGAGAAAGAGAAATTTGTATTACTCCTGTGGGAAACCTTCCACCCTTTTTATTGTCTGTACCTCCTAGGATCCCTGGGTAATTTAGGAGATTGTAGTTCAAGTTTTATTTATAAGATATTCAAGCTACCATGGATATGATAATGCTTCAATTCAAACCTGACTCAGAGATATGTTCAAAAATACTTCTAATCCAGTTTCACTTCTCTTCTAGTATTTTCTTAATTCTGATCCTCATCCATCACTTTTGCAGCAAAAGAGAGATTCTTGCTGAAAATTTATCCTATGAATTTACTTCATTTTGTGATCCTGTCAATACATGCAGGGTTATATTTGGAATAGTTACTTAAATATTACACATCCTATGATGTTGTTTTGAAACATAAGAATATTTAAGAAGTGTGTTGGGGTAATAGAAAGAACAAGGGGCGCAATGAGAGATGCATTCTGCAAATAGGTACCTAGACATGAAAAACTATTTTAGTTCCTACTTTATACTTAGCAGGAAGGAGCTGGGTAAATCCAAAAGTTGTTGTCCTTTAGCTCCATTAATATATGAAGACACTGCTAGTAATATTACACCCCATGTGGGTTCTGCAACCCCAATTCACTACATATTGCAGGCATCGATTCTTTCTTTTATCTTCCTAATATGAGTTACCCAAATTCTTGCCTCATCCTCTGTCATGATGTATCTCCTACTTGCCAATTCCTTTTTGTGTTAATGCTTTCCTCACAGATCCTAAGTGAATTTAAAAATTAATGTCACTGTAATTTGTAGGTTTTGGCTCTCTGGAATTATTTTGGTTAATTGGAAGAGGAAGAAGTGGAAGTAGAAGGTAAAGATAGTGTAAGACAGTGGGAAGTGAAATAGAGTAGCAATTAAAACAAGGAAAGAAAAGAGATTGAAGATGGATCACTTACACGGAATTTTAGGGAAAGATGGAAATTATAGCTATACCTGCTTAACAATCATCTGAACTGTTGTATACTTTTCAGTTTGGGGTATTTAGGTTTCAATCTTTAGATTGTGGTAGAATATTCCAATTCAGTGCCAGCATGTTTAATAACTTTAATATTTCAAGAAAGAGGATGTGAGCTCAGTAGTAATTTTAGGTCTTAGTTGGTGAAAGCTGCAACCGAACATCTTACTTTCTTAATTCCTTTCCATAAGACTTTTCTGAACTTGAATAGTACATTTGCTAAAGACTTTAAAAACTTCCTTAGTTGGATAAATAGTATTTTCTCCATTTTCAGGTTTTGACCCAAATCTTCTGCAATAGATTGGTGTCAAAAACAGAATAAGAATTTAGGAACTATTTCTGAAAGGCAAAATATGTGAATTATCTTATTCGTTTAAACCAGAATTTATTTAGCCCAATATTTGGTCTCAAATCACTTTGTGGGCATTCGTATCCATAATAATTTTGAGAGCTGGGAATATACTATAAGCAACCTTGTCTCAGTAAGGTGTGATGGACCTAGTTGTATTCAAGAATTTTTTTTTTTTGAAATCAGAAGAGCATTTTATTGAGAAGAGCATTTTTTTTCAAGTAGCATAAAATCCTTCCTCCTTCTGTGCACAGCTGCCTGTGGATCTTAAGCATCACCGTCCTAGCACAAAGCACAGCATTTCAGTGTTTGGACCAATCTTTTATTTTTTTTTTTAATAGAGGCATGTTTTATTTATTTATTTGTTTGTTTGTTTATACATGCACTGGGTACAGTCAGAAGCGCGGGAGGGTGAGAGAATTCACCAGAGCCAGAGCGGGGAGCAGAGCAGGCAGAAGGACCGAAGTACACTGCTGAGGGGAGCAGCGGGCGGCAGGAGAGGTCTGCGCGCCATGTGGGACCCTCCTCTGGTGGCCGGGGAGCAGCCGGGGACCGAACCAGCGCTGCAGAGGCCGCGGGCAGCTTCGCAACCCAGCGCTCAACCGCTGCACCACCGGGGAAGCCCAGGACCAATCTTTTAAGTTACTAAGTCCAAACTGCATCTGATGCTTGAGTTTTCTCTATTATTTCTAGTTTTTTTTTTCTTGACTACTACGCACCATCTTTCTGTTGCATGACAAATGAATAAATGATACATGAATAAATTATGACTAAGGAATGTCCTCATTACTTATCATCCTAAAGACAGTGGGGTGTCTCTGTTTTAGTTAATGTCTCTTTTGCTGTGCTTAAGCTTTTCAGTTTGATGTAATCCCAGGTGTTTATCTTTTCCTTGACTTTCTTTGCTTTGGGTGATGAGTCTTTAAAGATGTTATTACAATGTATGTCTGGTAGTGTTTTACCTATATTTTCTTCTGTATATTTTATGGTTTTAGCCTTACGTCCAGTCTTTTATCCATTTTGAGTTGGTTTTTGTGCATGGTAAAAGATAGTGGTCTAGTTTCATTTTTTTGCATGTGGTGGCTCGATTTTCCCAGCACCATTTATTGAACAAACTGTCCGTGTTCTATTGTGTAGTCTTTGCTCCTTTGTCAAAGATCAGTTGTCCATGTAAGTGTGGTTTTATTTCTGGGCACTCTCTTCAGTTCCATCGGTCTGTGTATCTGTTTTTGTTCCAATACCAAACTGTTTTAATTATTATGGCTTTGTAGAATAGCTTGAAGTTTGGAAGTGTGATACCTCCTTTCTCTTTTGTTTTCATCAGTAGGGCTTTGGCTATTCATGGCTTTTTGTGGTTCCATATGAATTTCATCAGTATTTGTTCTATGTCTTTGAAGAATATCATTGAAATTTTTATTGGAATAGCCTTGAATCTGTATATTGCTTTTGGTAGGATGGACATTTTAATAATGTTAATTCTTCCAATCCATGAGCAGGGGGAGTATTCAAGAATTTTTGTTTGCTAACCTTACAAACTTTTTACTTCTACTTTGATCTGAGACTAAGTCTCTTTTAATTCAGGAAATATCTCTATATTACTTTGAAAGAGTTCTAATATTTTCATGTTAATATGATTTAGAAGAAAGGTTGTCAGAAGACCTGGATTTAGTCCCAGGTTTGCCTCTAATTAGCTATATAACCTTTGTAAAGTTTCTTAATTTATGTGGAATTCATCTTACTCTAATTTATATAATAAATAAGAGCCCTGAAGTATTTTCTTATTCTAAATGTGATAGAATTCATAATCATGCTCTAGTTTGCCATTATTACAAATGTCTAGATGATTTTATAGATCTGACCATGTATTTTTTTAATTTCTGTCTTAGACAGTAAAATGACTAACAGCCCTACTCTCCCTTCTCCCAGTTTTAAAAGTATTTTCTGAATTTCTTTGATCATGTAAATGGTACCTTTCTATCTTTCTCTGTTGCTGTCATTCTTAAGATGGACTTGATGAGAACAGTGCCAGATACTGAAGGTGTGGGCAGATGCACAATAATTTGATATAAATGTAATATCATATTTTCTGTTTTATTTTGGCTACTTTTTAAAATGTCAGTATTTCCAGGATTTCTTAGCCATGTCATTTCAAAATGTCTTTTACACCAACCCTTTGCCTCCGGACTAGGCTATTCTTAAACTCTTTACTATTCAATATCTTCTGGGACAGAGATTTCACAACCTGTCTCTCACCTTGAGGAAGTTCTTATAGCGAACATAAATCTTACTTTCTACAATTTAAGTTGAATTTATTTCCTTTTTCTTTTCTCTGTGGAGATGGGAACAGCCCCAAACTAGAAGTGATGCTTGCTTATGAGGGCCAGCAATGAATGTAGTGGAAAGATTATTTCCAGTGTGGCATCACTTTCAGTTTTTCGATGTTAAAGCTTCCTGACTTTCATTTTAATATTCATGGTCTGAGAAGATGTTATTCTTTATGATCAAAATGAAATAACAGTTTCATTTCTAATATTACTGTTTATTTTATCTTTTGCTAGTTAGAACCAAAGGAGGCGCTAAAATTAAAAATAAGTTCTTAAAGCCCATTTGAGAACATAGCAGATTTATGCTTTATTTATTATAACTAGTCAGATGACTGGCTTTTAACGTTAGTTTTATAGCTTTTTATCTTATTGTTTTATTAGTCATACTGTATAGATGAGTTATTCATCCATATCCTCCTTAAAGTGATAATAGAAACATTCTTTAAAACAAGCTATCCTGAAGTAAATTTTAATGTGTTGTCAAAAGGCTTTAGTACCTAAGCTAAGAAATGTGCTAGATATTGGAAAATAAAAAGGAAACATGTTCTCTGCCCTCATTGGGTGAAGATATTCTAAAATATTTTAATTATAAAGTACTTACAAAGTATATATAACATGTTTAATGTGAATTTTGCTTTGCATCTTAAAGAAAATGTCTTTACACTACACATCTGTTCTATTAACTAGGTGATACCCTAAAATGTCAAATTATGTGTTTCATTCTGATTTGTTTTTTCACATTAAAGGTTCAACAGTTTTCTGAACAATCCTTCCTCTTACAACTTTTGAAAATTCATGAAAATGCCTTAGAAAGACAGTGCAGTGAAATTACAAACCAAAGAAATATGCTTCTCCAATCCTTTGTAAGTCTCCAACCACTTAGAAAAATCTATTTCTCTGTGTCAAAAGTATTTAAATATACTTCGGTGTACTTTTAGAAAATTATTTGTATGCGCATTGGCAGGATAGTCCTGTTCAGATAGGGAAAAGTATTAAGTGCTATTTAAAACCAATTTGTAGAGTAATATCATTTGTAAGATTTCTATTGGCAGTGATGCGATATAGAAATTATTTGCAACTGTAATAAGCATGTAAGGAAGAGTGAAATTGATTTGAACTGCCGAGACTTAGAGACCTTAGATTTTAATACTTCTGAAAGGCAGGGAGATCTACACTTTTGACATATTTATGGATGTGAACTAAAGGATAGATTTTGTTTGTCTTGTCATCACTGTAAGCCAGAACCAACAGGCTTGGTAGTTTTAAATGACAAGGCTAAGTTAGGAATAAAACTTGTAATTAATTAAAATTTTTAAGAAAATACATTCAAAATGTTAAAAAATATATATCTAGAGAGTATCTGTATATATCTAGAGTATCTATATATATCTAGAGAGTATCTATATATCTATATATATATAAATATATATCTAGACTTTATGGTTTTGAATCGTATGGCCAGTTTCCAGTGTAGTTCATAATTAGTTGACATTTCTTAGAAAAAAATAGAGAAATACAGTGATGTTTCAGTTTCATCATTATTAAAAAGTTTAGGTTCTAGTGCTGCTTTTGGAAATTCTTTTTTCTACTCCATGTTGATATGTCATAAAATGTAAACTATTATTTGGAACTGAATTTGAAATGCATATGTAATTTTACAACCATGGTCTGCATTTTAAAAAATGTTTCCTTGGATTTTATTGTTTATTTTCCTTTAAAGCAGATATTTATTTTCATTTTTAAACTTGGTCTTTTAATTATTTTACCACCTGATTTTATTTTGCAAGGACAAAGTAGTATATAGGGTTATAAGATTAATCTACAAACACAGATTAATATCTACATTAATAATTCTCCTAAAACATTAAGGATAACTCTTTAAGATGAAGAGAGTTGATCATTATTATGTAAGAGCTTCAGTTTTTATTAATATTACTGGAGAAATAAAGCATTTTGTGATAGCACTGGGAAGGATAAATATTTACTTTTGTTGTTAACAATTCCAAATGACTGCATTTTAAATGACTAAAGAAAACTATTCCTGCAATTTTTAATCTATATTGACCTTGTTTTTTTAAGGAGAATACAAAGAAAAAGGTCACAGAAGAGGAGGAAAAATTTACTAAGGAAGTTACAGACTTCAATAAAGAATATGAAATAATAAAGAAAAGAGAACTTTCAATGAAAGAAAATGTCAAGATTGAAATATCTGACTTGGAAAGCCAGGCAAACATTTTGAAAAGGGGTATGATATATAGTAACACCTTATTTATCTGACACTAATGAAAATAACTTATTTTGAATCTCTGAATCTTTCAGAAAGTTAACTTTGCCTTAAACAAATTAGATTATTGCCTAATATTTTTTCTTAATTATTGTAATGGATATTTTTTTTATTGTGACAGTCTCAAATTCTTTAGAAGTAGGTGTAGTATGAATGTTCATTCATTCAATAAGCAAATTTTTTTTACTTCCTATTATGTGATAAACACAGTTCTAGTGGAGGAATCATACATGTAAGCAGATTTGTATAGTACAAGATAATAGACATTATAATAGGTGCTATGATCCTCATTTTACCATAAATTCAGTTTAAATTAGGAGACACAGAGGGATGGGAGTATTTCATTTCAGGAACACCAGGATGCAGAGTGTTGTAGTCTGTAATAAGATCCTGAAATAAAGACATTGCCAGAGAGAGGAAAGGGTGAATTAGAGATGTTTACAAAGAATGATAGGACTTTATCACTGATTCATGTGAACAGAAATAAAGTAAGTTAGGGATGAATCACAGTTTTCAAACTTTGGAGATTGTGTAGAATATGGCACCAGGCAGAAAAACAGAAGTAGAAAAACTTGTCTGAACAATACCCTTTTTTGAACAAAAAGATTGAATTTCATATATTTTTAGTTGGATATATCTGGAATATATAAGTGGGATTATATTTTCCGATTAGACTTATTTTATAGATGAAGAAAATAAGGTTCGGAGATAAATTTATTTTGGGCAGAAAATATAGGACAGAGGTTCTTATTCATAGGTGTACAAATAGGTAAAACTTTAAAAAAAATTAACTACTTGAGTTTCATCCCAGACCTCTTGAATAGGATTTATGTTGGTAAAAATTGGGAACACATTTTTTTTCATGTTCCTTAAGTGGGATTAATGTGTGCCATTCTTTACTAATCACGGTATAGAATGAAAAGTTAAATAAGTGTTAACTTTAGGGGATACTCTGAAATTAGCTTTCTCCATAATGTCATGGATATCACCATGTCTTCCATTCAACATAGCATTGGAATTCTAGCCAAATCAACTAGGCAAGAAAAAGAAATAAACAGTGCCCAATTTGGAAAGGAAGAAGTAAAATTATTGCTATTCTCACATGACATATTACATGTAGAATATCTAAATATTTATATCCTAAGAATAAAATACTTAAGAATAAATTAACAAGGAGGTAAAAGAATTATATACTAAAAACTATAAAACATTGCTATAGAAAGTTAGAGGAAACAAAATAAATGGAAAGACAACCCATCTTCATGGATTGGAAAAGTTACTATTGTTAAGATGACATTATTATCTATAGTGATCTATAGATTCCATGCAATTCCTATTAAAATCCCAGTAGATATTATTTATGAATAGAAAACTCCATTCTAAATTTCATATGGAATTCCAAAGGATCCCAAATAGCTAAATCAAGAAAGAGTTGATAAGCTCAAAATCCTGAGTCTTTTTATCAAAAAACAAATATATATTTCAATCAAGTCTTTACTTTTTTGAATATTTCTTGCTAACTAATATAAATGGAATTTTACCATCTTTTATATTTTCTTACTGGTTGTTGGTTATTTATAGGTAAGATACTGTTTCATATTCTAATTTTCTAGCAAGTCACCAAACTGAATTATTTTATTGTCTGCTTGACTCACTGAGCTTTTCATTGTCATCTTTAACTACTGATAGTTTTGTCTTTGTTTTCCAGCACTTATTACATTTAAAAATCTAATTGGCTGGCACTTATAGAACACTATTAAATGATAATGACAGTATTAATCTATTTATGTTGCAATCACAGAGTATCATAGACTGGGTGGCTTATAAGAAACACAAATGTACTAACTCGCAGTCCTGGAGGGTGGAAAGTCCAAGATCTGTGTGCCACACAATCATTGTCTAGTGACAATCTAGTATCTCATCATAGACTGTCTCTTTGCTATATCCGCACCTAGCAGAAAGGACAAATTAGCTCCACAGGTTCATGCCTCTTCAAACGTGTTTTACCACACTTTCCCTCCCAATCCAAATGACAAAAGATTGAAGAAAATATGCACAAAAAACTTCCACTATTTTTCAATTTTGAGGACAAGAGTTGGTGCAAAACTGTAATCCTTGAGAGAAGAGAAATGTTATCTGTGAGCCCTATGACTGCCACAGCTTTCTACCTGATCAGTTTTTGAAAAGCTACACTAAGGGAGGAACTTAAGTGTTCTGCTTGAGTTGGGGACACAAAGATGGAGTTCAAAGAGACCAAGTCAACTGGAATTTTCAGGACAATGTACTTGAGAGGAAAGAGTACAGAGAGAAAACCTCCAGAAATCTGCATGCGGGTTGTTGTGAGTCTTTGTGTATTATCCTGTTCAAACAGAGAAAACTGCAGTAGGTGGAGTAAAGAAAAACTGCTAAATAATGATAAGGTAAACAATTCTAAAAGCTTACCAAGACTGAGACATTCATGTTCCACACTGTGAGAATGGGCATTATCATTAAACAGCAGAGTCCTGCTTAATTGTAGGACTGGGTTATTCTTGGATTAAAGGGTAGTCTAGATCCATTCTTAAAAAATCTTAGCAAGGTTTGAACTAGAGCCATCAATAACTCTACTTCCTGTTAAATAGAAAACATCAGCATGTTTTAGGAGAAGATAGCAAAAATCACACATTCAACAAAATGCATTGTCTGGTATCCAATAAAAAGTATCCAATAAGAGTACTGTGAAAACTGGAAAATATGGAAACCTCGCATTGCTGGTAGGAAAATAAAATGATACAACTGCTTTGAAAAACAGTGTGACAGTTTCTCAAAATGTTAAACCTAGACTGTATACTCCATCAGTTCTACTCATAGGTATTTCAAGAGATTGAAAACACATGTCCATGCAAGAACTTTATATGTGAATGTTTATAGTAATATTATTCATAGTAACCAAAAAGTGGAACCAACCCTATTGTCTATCAACTGAAGAATGCAAAAACAAAATTTATCTATACAGTAGAATTTTATTCAGACATAAAAACATATGGAGTTCTGATGCATGCTACCACATGAATGAACCTTGAAATCTTTGTGGTAGACATAGAAAACTCTATTGCATGCTTCAGTTTTTGTGCAATGTCCAAAACAGGAAAACGCATAGAGCCAGAAAGTAGATTAGTGGTTGCCTAGGGCTAGGTAAACAGGAAAAATGAGGAGTGACTAATAATGGGGAAGGAGTCTCCTTTTGGGGTGACAAAAAATGTTTCAAATTCTATAGTGGTAATATAGGTACATATCTGTGAATATACTAAAACCCATTTTAAAAGGGTGAATTTTATGGTATGTGCATTACATCCCAATAAAAATTGTTTTATAAAAAGAAAAAGTTTCTGTAGCATAAAAAATTCACTATCTGGTGCCTCCCTGGTGGCTCAAGGAGTTAAATCTCAGCACTATCAAACAATCTGCAGCCATTGCAGCAGGAGTTCGATCCCCGGCCAGGGAGCTTACCCACATGGCGCAGCAGACCTCTCCTGTCTTACTGCTGCTCCCCTCTGCAGTGTATTTCAGTCAATCTGCCTGTTCTGCTCCCTACTCTGTCTCTGGTGAATCCTCTCACTCCGCCTGCATCTCTGGCCTACACCCAGCTCTTGTTGCATAAATAAATAAATCTTTTAAAAAAATCACTATCAGTATAAAATATTTCCTGGAAGTATTAATAGATCAGGCACTGCAGGAAATAAAAAAAAAATCAGTAAATGAGATAATATTAAAACTGAAACTGAGGGAAATAAAAGACTTCAAAAAGCTGAATAGTTCTTCAGAGACCTGTGGGAAGATATCAAATAGTCTACTATATTTATCTCTTGGACATTTTGGATTGCTATAAACCAAGTACCACAGACTGGGTGACTTAAACAACAGACATTTATTTCTCATAGTTGTAGAGGGTGGGAAGTCAGAGATCAGCATGCCAATGGATCCTGTGTCTGGGAAAGACATGCTTCCTAGTTTACAGATGACTGTCTTTTCCTTGTACATGAATTTACAGCAATTTTATTAGCAGAGGGGAGAAAGAAGGAGAGCAAGTGCTCTGGTCTCTTATTATAAGGGCACTAATGCCATCCATGAGGGTTCCACCCTTATGAACTAATTATGTCCCCCAAATCCCTACCTCCAAATAGTATCACATTGGAGATTAGGCTTCTACATATGAATTTTGGCCTAGCTCAAACCTTTAGCCCATAGAACTGTCCAAATGGAGTCCTAGAAGGAAAAGTGTAAAAGAAAAAAATTTAAAAAATTAGAAGATTAATTTAAAGACTGAATTAAAGTTTGTTGTGGGAATGAAAGGAAGAAAGAAAGAAGAATGGCTGTTAGAGCTATTGTAGAAGCTTATAGCTGTATAGTGAGTGCTTTGAAAGGTCATTTTGAATATGCTTTAGTTATGAGAGAGTTTCATATTTTCCTGTTGAGAAGCTTGTTTTATTTGACAATATTACATTATTTGAAATCTTTTTTGATAGTTTGACCGTCAGCTAACTTATTCTTTTGTATCCATTTAGTGCTTAATGAATCTTGGTCAATTTGTTAGAAACTGTTCCTAAATGGCCAAGGAAAGCCATTTGGGGCTTAAAATTGACCATATTTTAATATACCGATGTATTTAATGCAAAGCCCAAATACTTAAAATGTTTTTTGTTCATTTTTTCTAGAAATGAAGTTAATGGAACATGATAGTATCCAGTTAAATAAATTTCAAAAACAAAAGAGTGAATTATTACAAGAATTATTTGTACTACAGGGAAAACTTAAAGGTACTACCTTTATGAGTTGTTTTAGTTTGCCAGCAAATATAGTTACATTTATATGCTAGGGTCATATTGTTTCAAAGTGGGGTGTAGTGCTCTAATTTGATATAAAAAAGGAATAGGTAAACTATTGAGTTCATCAGTGTTAGAGCTCATACTTGTAATGTCACAAATGTTAAGGTTTTTGGGGCCTTTATTTGCTAAATAAAAGTAAAAAAAGCCATTAGTTCAAATATTTTATATGAGGCACAAAAATTAGAGTATTGTTCTTATGAATGAATAAACATAAACTTGGTTTATTTTTGTTTTTTTATTAGTTTATTTTTTATTGGGGCATCATTGGGTTACAACCCTGTATATGATTCAGAAATATGGGCTCGCACCTCTTCAGATATATGTTATCAAATCACACCCATCATCAGTGTACCCATAATCCCCTACCATGGTCCCTTGGGTACCCTCCATACTTTTTTCTCTGCGCTCCCTTTATGTGTAATTTTTAAGAGATTGTAATAATGTTTTTAATTGTTTAGTTTTTGAAGATAAGACAAATGAAGCCATCTGTACTACCAAATACTTAGAAGCAGAAAAAATAAAAATCAATGAAAAGCCACAAAATGATCCTGAATGCTTAAGGTAAGAGTTGCCTGCTATACTTTGATATAAAGTCTGATGATTTTTTAAGTTGTCAAATGTATTTTAGCATAAAACTAAATGCATAGATTTTTACTTTAAGTTCCAGGGGAAGTCTGTGTGTGTTCAAAAACATGCTAATAAGCAAATGCTTCACTGGCTAGAAAGTGCTACACATGAGTCTCACAATGCATTAGGCTGATAAGACTGAAGTTAATTTTGTCTTTTCTTATACCTCATGGACTCAGTATTATTCATATCCTAGTAGATTATGACCAAGTAGTGGTCTCACAACTCTCCTTTCTGTTATTACTAATTTTGAAGGGGGAGGGAGGAGTAATGATTAAAATTATTTTTTATCTTTCTGCATTTCAGGAGGAAAAAAATCACAATCTGCTATTTTACTTGAAATTTATTACTCTGATTTTGTGCCTAGGGAATGAAAATGCATTTTCTGCATGAAATATTTAGATGTTTTGTATGCATATGGATAGTGAAAGAATGGTTGATGTTTGAAGTGCATAGTCATATACAAGGAGAAACCCCCTGGTTTATTAATTTGACTATTATTTATTAATAATTCAATGTTATATTTGCCGGCTTAATTTTAAAGATGTTCCTATGCTTTCTAGACTTGATATAAGAAATCTCATTACCAAATCTATGAAGAAACTAATGAAGCCTCTTTTCACATAAATCATATAGGAAATATGTCCACCAGAGCTGAACAAATGCTTCATATTAGCAGTGTATTGCCTTAGGCCATAATTTTAGTAGATTGTGAGAAAATATTTGCAATTTAATTTTATGTTAAGTTTTATAAGCATGAAATATCAATCTCTTGGGTGATATGTGTGATGCAGAATGAGTTTCTGTAATGACAATCTGCTCATTGATTTTTTTACACTTTTATAAATGGTAATGCCCACTGGTATCATTATAATTGGTAGTATAAGGCTTCCAATATGAACTTCAGTTTTGTGGTTTATCACTCAGTTATAAAAATTTGCCCTGGGTTAAAATTAAACACACAAAGTCTGTTAGAGAGTGCTCTTTCCTTCACAGATGGTGATAGAGGAAATTTGGATAGAAAGAAACATCAATCCATAAACATAGTCTAGTCTTTACATTTTAGCAGGTGTTAAATGAGATGCCAATATTGATCAATTCTCATTTTAAATTATTTTATGTATATGTAGCTTAGTTTCCCTATTGATAGTTCCATTAAAGTAATTTCAAGTGTGAAGAGCAGGGTCAAAGTACCAAGTAGAAAGATTTTAGGAAAGAGGATCATCAGCCTTGTAACTAGTGCGGCAACAAGAAGCTAATGATGGCAAGAAATGATACAGTGTTTATTCAGCTTCATCATGAAGGCCAAGATCAAATTGGTTTTGTCCCTACATTTTAGAACAGAATTGTTGTCTTCATCCAGGTGTTTCGCAGTGATCTCTGCCCACTAGATGCCAGCAGCAGCCCTGTCCCAGAGTTTTGCCAACAAAAATGTCTCCAGACACTTCCAGATGTCCCCTGGGTGGAGAGGGGTGGGCAAAATTGTCTTTGGTTGAGAGCCAGTTTTATTTTAAGGTCATTATAATTGTACTTCTTTCATTAACTTTAACCAGTAAGAAGCAATTATAAAAAACTAATATTAGTTTATCTCAATGAGCTTATTGTTTCTTCTTTTTGTAATTACAAAAAAACCACATATTTTATTCTATTATTGAATTATTTTATAATGATTTGATTTAGTTAATCTGCCATGTTTGGTTGTTATACTCAATCTTGATCCATCATTAATGTAGAGAACCAGTACTTACATTCACACTGGTCTGGTGGTCTCTGCTGTAGGTTCTCTTCCCCTATTTATAAATACCAAGATGTTTGTTTATTTACAGTTTCTGTTTCAGTTCACACATGTTAAGGCAGCTATGATTCACACTTAAACCAGAAGTTGGGTTAATTCATAAGAAGCCTCTCAGAGGCTATATAACTACATTGAGCTAGTTTTTTCAGACAATCTAGGGAGGATGCAGTGATAAAGCTCAGGGCCATGAGAAGCAGTAAGCACAGAGTTTTAAGATTATAAACCCCTTTGAGCCCTAGCTCTGCTATTTGCTAAATTAGTGACCTTGGGCAAGTGATTCCACTTGCCTCAGTCTCTGCATCTACAAAAGCTTAATCTAGTGACTACTCTGCAAGATTATACTACAAAATAAATGACTTTATAATATATAAAATCCTTAGAACAGTGATTGGCACACAGTGCATCTATTGAGTATATCTATAGAGATATTATGTATAATTATAGTTTTGTTCTCACTTAGCATTTAACTTCTATTTCATACTCTCCCTGAGGATATCAAACTTTTTAAAATTCTTTTTCAGTTTTTCTTCTGGGGGCTCTCTCAATGCAGAGGCTCCCTAAAGCTAATCATTGATTGTCTTCTTCTTTTGTGCTCTCCATGGGCCTCTCATCTGGTCTAATGGATTTCATCATGGTCTACAGATAATTTTCAAATCTTTGTGCCTAATCCCTCTTTCCTAAATACCAGTGCTGAATTCCTAACAGTTTAATATCAACACAGAAATAGATCTGAAGGGATGCTGCCCAGCTTAACAAAGAAAACCAAAAATATCTTATCAGAAAGTCAAAAGCCTACTTCATCCGTGCCTGTCCATTTTCCTCCCGCAGTTCTATCACATACCCTAGCTTGCTAGTGCCTCTGAGTGCTGTTTGTAAAATTCCATATGCCACAGGTCTTCATACATCTGTATCCTTCTCTCTTTCTCTCAGCTAAAATTCAGCTTATTCCTCAAGGTCCAATTCACATTTCATTTTTATCAGGACGTTGCTCAAATTTAAAATTTGAGGCATTTTTGACATGTTCTCAAATCTCATAATTCTCAGCCTCCCACAGTTTATCATCAAGTTTTGTGGCTTTAACCTCCAAAATCTTTCTTGAATCCTCCCCCGCTTCATCTACATTGCAAATACCCCACTTCTAACCACTGGCCTCTCTCACCTGGATAACCATAATAATCTCTTTTCCTCTTTTTCCTCATCCACTTTGCACCCTCACATCCATTATAAATTGTATCATTCTATCCCCTTATTAAAATCATTCAAAAACTTCATGATGAACACAATAAAACTTAAAGTTCTTAATAAGGCCTCTATGACATCACAGTATGGTCTGCAACTGTCTCCTGCATATTTCCTTTACAGCACATATTCCAGTTTGTAATTATGTACTTAGGTACTTTTTGGTCCATTTCTGCCTCAACAGGAAGAGGAATGCTCAATGAGAGGAGGGAGCTTGTCTTCTTTGTCTGCCATTGTATACTCATGGTTTAATACTTTGTTGCAGAGCTTGGCATATAGTAGGTGTTGAATAAATAAGTGGAGGGAAAAGTAGATTTAAGAAATTATTTCCTCTATGGTTCCTTTCTCTGTATTCGCATAGAATATGTTTGTGATTCTGCTGTATCATTCATCATATCCTGTGGTAGTTATGTCTATCAGTTTATCCCACCAGACTCTTGATCATCTCTCTCTACTTCTTGATTTTTTAAAAAATCAACCTCTACACTGAGCACAGTCATGGGCACATAAGTTCAATAAATCTTTGACCCAGTGATTGAGTCTACATACAATTTTATTTTTGCTACAAAGAAGACAAAAGTTCTTCACATTTCCAATGCCATTTAGATAACCTGGTAGAATTCTTAATTTCCAATCCAAATTTTTCTTCTATATAGAAAAAGCTCTCACTTTCCCTCTGCACCCCCATTTCATCCTCAGTATGATTGGCGAGTGTGGATGGGTTGGCTGGAGTCTACCCCTTTCCTCTTGCCTATCGCTTTGGAAGTTGACCTGCCTCAGACAGCAAGTGTTCCATAATGCTCCCCCATTCCTGAAGTTTTACAGAGATTTGACTCCATGAGAGAAAGCTTATGGTATGCCCTTCTACCTATAATGGTATGAGTTAAATTAGTCTAATTCTGGGGGTCAGTATTAGTAATATCCTGGCCTACCAATATAAATCACATTCCCTATTATCTGCTACAACAGTAGTAAGTGTAACATCTTGACCTCCCTCTGCCTTCTAATTCCTCAATCGGGAAGAATTCAGACAGAAAAGAAACGTGTGTCTTATCAGTCCCCTTCAAACTCAGCACATATTATTTTTTATTATCCAACAACAGGGTCACCGAAATACAGTTCTTGAACATGACTTTTTATTTATTCTAAGTCGTAACAATAGACATCTTGAAATCTTTCAGGCATTTCCATTACCCACACACCTTCCTTCTAGAATGCTTTAAATTTTTTATAACCAATATGTATTTACTACAACAGGAGGTTTGTTTCAGAAATGAAGCTGCATAGTCAACAACACGGGGGTTTCCTTTGAACATTTGAAGATAGCGTGGTTTTGTGCAGAGCATATTTGCAATAGAAACTGCACAGAAGTTAATACACATCTCTTACTGAGAGACTAAATGTATTTATATGAAGTAAATCAGTGCTGTTGCCTCTTACTTGAAAAAGTCATTCAGTTAGTTGGTCACAGAGGTCACATTGATGGTCCTTAGATTTATAAGAAGTTATAAATAAGATGGTATTAAAATATTTCTAACCTCTCTAAAAGATACACAAATGTATATATTTATACATGTATATTTTCATTTTACCAAATATGCAGATATTTTTGAATTATGAGAGTATGCTATGGTGATTTAAAAAAAATTTAAATACTATGAAAATGTAGAGCATCAAATTCTCCCTTTATCACCCCACTCCAGAAACTCTCTGTGTGACATTCTTAGAAATTTGACATGTTTACTTATTTATTTAGAGTTTATTTATCTGTGTATGTGTGTATGTGTGTGTTTGATGAAAATTATAATCATAGGATAATATATACTGGTCTGTAATTTGCTTTATTACTTAGCAAAATATTAGAGATTCCCCATGTTAGTTTGTACTGATTAACTCCATTCTCTTAAATGCTAATGTGTGGAAATCCCATATTTATGTAAGCTTTCTCCCATTCACCAATGTACAAGAGTTTCTAAATATTCATAGTAAAAAGCATTTTTATAAACGTGTCTTAAATACTTGTGGGAGTGTTTCTGAAACATTATTTAGAATAAACATCATCTAGTAAAATAATAGGCATTATCGAGACTGTATTGAGAAAATAATCCACATTCTCTTAGCAGTTCTCTGTGTAATCAACAAAATGAACTAAAGTGGGCCAGTGTAACAAGATCTCAGTTTTAGAGTTTCTGGAGAATACTAGAAATTAATTATACATTTGTGCCCGATCCATAGTATCTCTCCTTTTTTAACATTTATAAAATATGAAAATCCCCATTTAATTCCAGGGTTGTTCTTAGTTATGCATTTTTTGAGTATTTCTGTTGACTCTGCATCTTTTCTGGTAAAACTTCATCATTTATTCACTAACAGAAGTGTCTCTGCAGCATCGATTGTGTAGCCTTTGAGCTAATAGAAATCCCCTGTTTTGTGAATTCTTGGCACGTACTATAGTTATTAAAGCTTCTAAGTAAATACAGGGGAAATTTTGATGGTGGTATCAATTGATTATCATAAAAGTTCTATGCTGATGTAAACGTGCCTATTTGTGTCCTGAACTTTGAAATAATTTTATTTATTGTGCAAGCCATATATAATATTAATGATTTCCAAAATTCATTGGTATCTTTGCTATCATCATACAGGGTTTTTTTTCCATTTTACATATTTACCTTTATAAACAGCCCCTTTTGCTTTAGAGATGGGAAAGTTGATAGTAAATATGTGGTAGAAGTTAATATAACTAAACCAACCCCATATTTGGAGTAACAAAAATGCTGATGTGACCCCTCTCTAGTTTTCCTTCTTCTCAGCACGTGTCTCTAGTTCAGCCTTTACTTAATCTGTAAAGGTTCCTGCCTGTCTGTCTGTGGGTGCCCTAGGCTGAAGAAAGCATAATTAGAAAACTGATAATTCTATTTTCACACATTAAACTTTCAAACCCACTTATAAATAAGCAGTATAGGAAAGAGGGTGACCTATATGTCTTTAAAAAATACTATTTTTATATTTAGATGGCACTAAAATAATTTTCATATGAATTAAAACTTAGAAATAATATTAAGAAATGTATGAGAGAACTAGAAAATAGAAAGGACTACTTCTCAAACCTCTTGTGTGATTAAGGAAATCAAAAAGGATGATTAACATGTAAGATTTAAAATTCCATGCATCAAAATGTCATCAACATGAAGTGACAAATGAGAGAAATTTGCAGTAATTAAGACAAATAAAGGACTAGTTTATTAAATAATCAACTAATTAAAAATCAGTAAGAAAACATTCAAATCAATAATTTTTTATTCATGTATTTGTCCAACCAACATACAGTAAAAGCCTGCCTTGTGCCATGTACTTAGCCGCTAGGGACACCGGGATGAATAAACAAGATCGTTCACCTATATTACTTGCTGCTGAAATGCAAATTAAAACCACTGAATATCAATTTTTAAACAAAATTTGAGAGACATTCTTAATAACCATAATAGAAATTGGCAAGTTTGTAGTGCAGAGATGGTTCCTACATTGCTGGTGGTAGTAAACGGTGCATCTATTTGGAATGACATTTAGTAATATATAAATTTATAGTAAGCTTCTTAAAAAAATGTTTGTGCCATTTCCACTTATGAGCATTATCCCAGGGAAAGTAATTCTAAGTAGAGAAGAAATTATGCACAAAGGTGTTCATAATGAGATTATTTGTGCTAGAAGAAAGTAGGAACAAAGGCTGTACCATAAATGATTAAGTTGTGGTATAATCATGTATTCATCTTAATTGATATTAATTGGCAGCTGTCCAGCTGTGGTTAACTGACAGAACTGTGTGGAATAGCACTAGCAAAGAAAATACTAGGAGGCAAAATTGAATAATCTATGATATGGAGACAAAAGATTGCAATGAAATATACCTAAATTATAGTAGTATTTTATTTTTTGCACTCACTAGAACTTCAGGTGAAATTTTTTGTTCTTTCTATGTTGTATACTTATATAGTTTAAAAGAGTGTTATTTCAGTTAAGACTTTTCTGTGGCACAAAGAAGTAATGGGAAAAAATTGGAATGCTGCAGAAAATCATACAAACGCACGGGGAATAAGTTTTGCTAAACTAACTGGCAATGTTGGCCCATCTTTCTTGTGATTTGGTGAATCAGGGACAGGTAACAACGACCAAAGCAAACTGTCCTTAGTTATCAAACAGTAGGGGAAGGCAGTCCTTCTTAACTCCTGTAGGCAATCAGTCTATGCACTGAAACATGAGCTCCGCTTACCAGTATGTAGTTTTGGGTAACAGCAAGTAGATTAATATTCATACCATTATCCTCTAGCCTCTTTCAAAGCTAGCAAAAATGTTATTTAAGTACAAATCTAAATTCTATAGCTTGATTATGTGCTGAATAGAGAAATACTTCCTAAAATTCTCTCTAAATGCCCTCCTTCGTTTCACTAGGCTCTCATTCTTATTGTAAGCAAAGTAAAAGGGATCGCCATCTCTTTTTGATAGTCTTGAAAGATCTTACAGAACCTCATTACACTGTTTGAGTTATGAAGGATTAATCGTATGATTTACTATCTGGTAAGACTAGCCACTCTTCTTTGGATTTTCTTCTTTCAGGGATTTTCCCAAAAAAGAAAAACTATTCAAGGACCGTCCTATAATATTTATTGTTTTTTAATATGAACTTTACAATCAGTTTTATCAAAACCAGGGGTAGGAGTGTTAATATGTTTATGGGGATCAAATTTCATTTATTTAATTTGGGGATAATTAAATAACAGTGTTTTTTGTTTGCTAATTTTGTATCTTGTTACCCTATTAAATTATTGTATTGTTTGGGTTGATTTTATTATAGATATGCAGATTTTCCAGGTATATTGTCAAATCACTTGAACAACTTGAACAGTGAAGTAGCTTTATTTCTTACTTCAAATTCCTGTTCCAATGACTATTTCCTACATTGGTATATTAAGTAGTAATAGAGATGGCAGACAGTCTTGTTTTTGATCTTAAGGGAATTAACTCGAGTTACCTCAATAGCAAAATGCTTACCTAAAGATGGACATTTGTATTTTATAAGGGAAGAGGTATATCTATTTTTTTGATTTTTATGAAGGAGTAAGTTTTGAATATTTCAAAGCTCCGTTCAGCACCTCTGGATATAATCATATTTTTTTCTCCTTGGAAATATTAATATGCTCAATTTACATTAATGAATTTCTAATATTGAACTATACATTAATTCCTAGAGTAGATCCTAATTGGCTGTAATATATTATTTACTTAAGCTGATATGGGATTCTTTTTGGTAGTATTTTACTTAGGAATACAGTACCAGTATTTGTAGATTGATGTGTGTGCATGCAGTTTCTTTATCAGGTTTAGGTAATCAGTGTTATTGTCGATTTAGAAAATAGATTGACTGTTTTCTTATTTTTTATATGCTGAGTTAACTTAAATAGTATTGAGGTTATCTGATCTCTGAAAGTGTCTTTTCTCTTTTATTGATAGTATAGTTCTTTGAAAACTTTCTCCATGCCAGCAATGGTTCTCTTACATATAACTTCAAATTTATAATATCCTCTGTTTCTGAGTTTTTTGTAAGTATAGCTTATAGGTATTCAATCTTCTAATTGAAGATTAGAATCTTCTAATTGAAAAATGTTTTTATTTAGGTGGTTGGCATTACCCTATAGGAACCTGGATTACAAAGGACTTGTTGAAGTATAAATTATAATGAAATTCCCCCTTTTAAATATGTAGTTCTATTAGTTTGGCACATTAAAAATTGATTCAAAGAGGAATCAAAATATATTACAAATTCTTTAGTGTTAACTTGAAATTCTGATGATAGAAGTTGCAAACCTGCCTCTATCCATGTAATAAAAATTTTAAATTATAAACATTTATTGCTGACTAATTAATGGGGTTAATATTTCCTTTGAAATAGACTGAAAAAAGAATTAGAACTTTATAAGGAAGATGACATGCAAAGTGTTTATGAAGCTCTCCAAACAGAAATAGAGTTTTTGGAGTTGGTAAGCATATTGATTCTTTCCTTTCTGTTCAACATTATTTTACAGACTGGTAAGAATGGCTAGTTTTACTGTAAATATATCATTGAGCAAGTATTTTGCCCTTCACAGGGATTTGCACAAAAAGCAAAGCAGGTACAGTGAACAAAACTAAGACAAGATATAAATCCGCAAAGTGTTTTTGAGTTCCTGAAGAGTTAGGTGCTGCATCAAGCAAGTCATATTCAAAAAGAATTTCAAACATAGCTAAAAAAAACCAACAACATTCAAAAACTGACTTTACAACCTTCCCTTGACTGAAACAGTTATTAATGGATTGGCCCTGAAGCATTTTAACTATCGTAATGTTTAAAAGCTTTTTGTTTTTGATAGGTATATATTACACTTTTATTATGTTTGATCCTAAAACTTTGTTATTACAGATTTTTATCATCTCAAGAACTATGGATTAAATTATTGGAAATTTACTTCCATATTCTGTGGGAGCTCTTTAAATTACTTTTATCCTCTTAATTTGGTTGTTTATAAAATGAACACAGTACTAGCCTTGCTCTATTTTAATTGAAGAGTTATGTAGCTAGCTTTAAGGTATGTTAAAATATAATTTCAGTGTAATACATTTTGTTTCATACTTTTATTCTGTAAATATTTTTGTTCTTTAGCCAACCAAGATTTTTGTTTTTGCAAATTCCAATTATATATATATATGTATGTATGTATGTATGTATGTATACAATATGTGTTTCAATAGGTTATATTAGGATTTATATTTTAAAAACTTTCAAAAATAAGATTTCTAAATAACCAGTTATTATCACACTAAATTTATATACATTTTATGTAATTTCTTTATCAAGAATTTTTTTTCCTCATGAATAATTACTGTACATCTTCTTTTCAGACATTGGCACACAAAGATCTTCAGTAAAACAAATAATTTGCAGAGAATTGATTCACTAGCCGAGATCTGATCAGAACATCTTGGAATCAAATCTTTGTGATATCCATTGCAACAGATTCTTGTGGAAAATGTGAGGTCCAGAATGTTTAAAGTCGTTGATACCTAGAACTGGTTTATTAGCACTAAAAGATAATATATTTTTTTTCTTGCTGCTTGCTGTTACTTTAAGGTTCTTCCATGTTACTTTAAGGTTCTTCGATTTTCTTTCAAAAGGAATAGAAAGGAATAGATAGTGTGTTCTCCGGTTCCTTCAGCCCCCTGACCCTTAAGTTGATCTATGCTTTCTGATGTTGTTCATTCTTTGTTTCAGCTTACCTTGGTTTCAGCCAAGCACATGTAGAAAGAAATGCTTAGATGATTGACCCCATTTTTTCAGTGCCATTTTTACCAACAAAGATGCTTACTTTCATTTCACTCTTTTTCTAACTACAAGGTATTTGTTGACGGGGGTCCTTTGAGGCCTTCCTTTTGCAAAAGCCAGTTTTTTTCACTTTCTCTGGGTGTGTCTCTAGACTTAAGTCTGGGATACCTTTAGCCATTTGCAGCAGTTGGTGCCTGCCAGTTTTCTTAATGCCAGTGTTGGTTAGAATGAAATAAGTCTTCCACTTGGAGAGCACATAATCTTCTCACAGCCATCAGTATTCATTGCCACTGGTGGCCTGAAACATTGCAAGTGTGGGTTTATGTTTGGATCAAACTTGGCACTGCCACTGAATTTCCAACATTGTGTACCTTTCTGCTGTTTGCAATCCTGATTAGGAGGAAAGATTGTATTTTCACTAGTTTCTTAAAAAGTGTATTAAAACTGTTCATCGAGGCCCTAGGTCGTGGCAGGTGGGAGAGGAGAACAAGAACTATTTAGGGAAGTATTTTAAAGTACTGAATGCAAATGTTAAAATCATGTTTTCTTTTGTGGTTGCAGTTGAATTAGTTTAACATCAAATATGAGATGTTTACAAATGTATCTGTGAATGTTAAGGAAGAGTGTTTAGGTCTATTTTCAGAGCAAGTCTGGTTTTGCATAGCTTTTTTTGTATGTGTTGTTTTATACCCTTATTTTTAAAAAATTAGCAAAGTTAAATATCTCCTTTGAGATGTGTAGCAGTTCCATCTGTTTAAATAATTTGCATTTTCAGAAGAGATTTCTATTTTGATTATTTAAATATATAATAGTAAATTATTTTTGCTTAAGAAGGAAGAAATTAATGGTACCAGGGAATTGTAATCTATTTTATATGCAAATACAAAGTGGGAAATAGTTATTGGGATTAGTCACAACTTCAGTTCTGCCTTATTTTACTCCATTTATCTACTCACATGCTAAGTTCTAAGTTTTTTTGACTATTACAGTGTATCGTATCATTAATATGCAGATTAAGTTTACACATAAAGCCTTTTTCACTTACCAGTAATTTTTGTTTATTATTTGTTTTGTAGGTAAAATATTAATGTGATCTGGAGGTCTGCCACTTAATTGCATAAATAGCACACAATGGCATATATGCAGGATAAATTCTTACTGATACAACTGTCTTTTCGTGTGTAGGTCATGTAGAGTATCTGGATAAACTATTCAGTAATGGAATCAGGATTCATGGGAATTGAATTGGAAAAAAACATAAGGTTCAGTAGTTTCTTTATTTCAAAATGCATATTTTAAGATTTAAACTAGTTTTCAAGCAGTTAATGAATGATTATTTTAGCACTGCATGGTAAAATAATACAGGCACTACCCATATGATACCAATCAAAATAAGGAACTGTTAGAACCCATGTAATCAAAGGCACAAGTTCACCAAACAAAGGAAATAAAACAATCAATAGAAATCAGTGTGTGAACCTGTCAACAAAGAGTGCCAGTGGTGGATTCAGTCTACTTTTAGTTTTTTTAAGAATAAATAATACATAAAAATTTCAGTAGGAAAAATAACTGGAACTATCTGGGTAGAAATGTGCTTCAGACTGACCTCAGTTACTCTAAAAGTAAGACTTTGGTTATACAGAAAGGCAATTTTTATTTCATTATTTATTTTATTTATTTATTTATTTATTTATTTTAGAAAGGCAATTTTTAAATGAAGGCTCATTCATGAACCATCACTAAATTTTCCCTGTACCTATATATAACCACAGCTCAGACTAACCCACAGTATTGCTGACACTGCCCTGAGCTTCCTGGCCAGGCCCCATTGTCCTTACCGGACAGAAGTTCCTTCAGAAGCAACTTTTGCATTCTCAGCTCTCTGTTAGGGAAAGATTGGGATGTTAAGCTTTGTTGGCTGCATGTTTTTTCCTGCTGCTTAACAGGACTGTTTGACTAGGGGAGAAAGAGCAATGAAGCTAGAGAAAGTGCAGTGTGACTGTTGGGCTATCAATTCTTTCCTCCTTCGCAGGCCTAGATACTGAGATGAGAAGGAAAAGCAAAGAAAAGGAGACACTGTAAGGTAGGCCTAGTCAGGAAGACGCTATGCTAGTCATTGTTTTGTCAGTAGTAGTGTTTTCTTCTATAAAGGAAACAGAAATTGAAGTGCTTTGTCTTTTTTTTTCCCTTGAAGTTTGAAAAATCATGATGAGATTTCTTGAAGCCCAAGATAAGGTTGAAGTCATTGTTTTGTATTGAATTGAAATCTAGAAATGTCTTAAGACTTAGTCAACGGGAATTGGTTATTTATTGTAGAATAGAAATTAAGCTGTGAAAAATCTGTCGAGCCTCTTACCAGAAGGGCAGTTAGTAATTCAGCTGGCCGGCTGCAGATGGACAGGCAGCATGCGTTGGACAAGGCTTGTTCTAAGCTTAGGCTGAGGACAGTCTCTTTCTGTTTCATACCAATCAATCATACATTACTGTGTATTATCTGCATTTATCTACATTTCAGAAAGCAGACGTTCAGTGACATGATTAGAAATTAATATGATGCAATTTTTTTTTTTAAGATTTATTTATTTAATTATACAAGCACTGGGTATAGTCAGAAGCGCGGGAGGGTGAGAGAATTCACCAGAGCCAGAGCGGGGAGCAGAGCAGGCAGAAGGACCGAAGTACACTGCTGAGGGGAGCAGCGGGCGGCAGGAGAGATCTGTGTGCCATGTGGGACCCTCTTCCGGTGGCCGGGGAGCAGCCGGGGATCGAACTGGCGCTGCAGAGGCTGCGGGCAGCTTCGCAACCCAGCGCTAAACCGCTACACCACCGGGGAGGCCCCTATGATGCAATTTTTAATCAGAAGTGTAGGAGGGCAAGGTGTTCTATCATTCAAAATTTGTAGAATTTTTGTTACTTCTTTAAAAAATAAAAATAGCATAGCAAAAAATTAGAAGTTGTTCAGTGCACTAGGAAGTGTTTTAAAACATTCGAAGCCTATCTATTTTAGGTCAACTTTTATGTTTCTTTTTGACTGCTTTTCTCTCATTTGTCATCCTGCAAACTTAAGTGAAGCAAATACATTTATTTGCCTTTCAGAGTCTAGTTCAGAACATTTTCTGTCAAGGGACTATTTTCAGAATGTGAAGTAAAAATGAAATATATATATATATATTTTTGTCATTAGCCTGAAGCAGGGATTAAGTCTTGGAGTTTTGTGTTCCTTTTATCTTAAGACAACAGATTTTTTTTTTTAAATGGAAGCATGGGAAGAATATAGTTATCTTTGAAAAATGTGGAGGTAGGAGTGTATCGTTGCATTTGGGCTTTCCAAATATTACATTACTCTTAAGTTTTTGCTTGATCTACTAATGATCAAGTCGTCATACCAGTGAAGAAGGTTTATTTTCTTATTTATTTTACTGACATTTGACATAAAATAATATTGTGACAGCATTGATCAGATAGGAAGGAAAGAATGTAATACATTCTCCATGATTTTTAGGAAGAATCAGGATTTCATTTGTTTGCTGTTATTCAGTATACTGAGGGTCACATTTCACAAACATCAGAGAAAACGTGCAAGTTAATGCTTGGTGTAAGAACATATTTACTTTGATTGGAGGGAAAAAAAGAGAGAATGACAAAGCCATGATGGATGGTAAAATGCTCGCTTAGCTGCTATGAAAAATGTCAAGAGCAAAGCTGTCAGAACCGAATGCTTATTTAAACAACTGCTTTTGATACACAGAAAAGTTGTCTTTAAAAGGCCTTTATGAAATTGACAGCTCCAGAATTCTAGTGTCTGGGAAAATAAAGAGTAAGTAAAAATGTGAAATTAGTAACAATGACTGATATAAGAAGCTGTGCAAAATGAGGCTCACAGAGTGGGAGAAAATGATTTCAGTTTTTACTTACAACCAGAGGAGCTTAGGCTCCTCAGCTATTCTGAATTAATTATTTCATACTTGTAATAAATTGTCATTCTAATTAGTTGGTAAATAAAATCTTGTTAAAATAAAATCTTCTTAATCTACTGTTAATAGATGCAAATACAATTACTAATGAATTCTTCTGGATATGACTTTGTGATTGCTGAAAGTATTTGCAAATTCAAGCCACCGTTTAATGGTGTAGATGTTGACAATTTGGGGGTTGGAACTGTGGACAAAGCAACCCCTGATTGGGAATGGGTGACTTGGGGATGTCATAGAGGGAGTATGATGTCAGCTCTAAAATCTGGGGGCAATTAGAGTTTATAAAATAGCAAGGTTATATTTATGAACATATTTTTATCCAATAAAATCAAAGTTCTTTATTGAGTTTATGGTTGGAGATCAAGCATTTGCCCTAGTTTTTGCAAGAGGAGCTGAGCTTTTGATCAACATTCTGATTCCTGTGAGGTCACAGAGGGCAGTCGGCCTCTTTATTTACAATTCTGTTGCTTGGGCCTCAGTTATATCAACCTTAAAGATATATTTCTTTTGAAAATTTGCTTATAATAAAATCTTTCACAACAGGTAAATATTAGAAAATAGGAGAAATTTGGGAATAATTGAAATCACCCTTTTGGTACCAGAAAACACTGATTAATTAGAATCAGTGAATGTGAATCTTTAATTAGCTAAGAGTATCTTTTATACACTCCTTGAGTGGAAAAGGGGCAAATCAGCACAAAATAGACTCAAATCAAGTACCGTTGAATATTCACCTCCTGGGTATCTCTTGAAATTAATTCCTGTTCATCCCACTTTGCTATGCTTTATACAGATGTATTTTTTTCATTACTGCCCTGTGGTCATTGACATGTGAGATGATAACCTGAAGGATGGCATCTTCTTAAAATATCAAATAATAAAAGTTATGTTCATACTTCAGTACTTGCTAAGGTAGGACTATGGACTAATGGAACATTTCCAGATGCATCAACATATAGAATAATCTCTAGTTAATCTGAAATTAACACTCTTGCTCATTTCTTTCTTTCCTCTCTCTGTTCTTCCTGCCACTCATACTTTCTTTTTTTTTTTTTTTAAAGATTTTTATTTATTTATGCATACAAGAACTGGGGTGTAGGCCAGAGGTTGGGGCGGGGGGGGGGGGCTTGGTGGTGAGAGGATTCACCAGAGACAGAGTGGGGAACAGAACAGGCAGACTCACTGAAATACACTGCTGAGGGGAACAGCGGGCGAGTCAGGAGAGGTCTGCTGCACCATGTGGGTAGCTCCCTGGCCAGAGATCAAACTCACGCTGCAGTGGCTGCTGATAACTTCATAGCCACTGCTGATAACTTCATAGCCCATTTCTACCAGGGAGGCCCCCCCACCTTATCCTTTCATCCAGCCATCTGTCCTGCCATCCTGACTCCAGTCTACCTCCCAAAACTACCATTATCCTACCCTCCAGCCACCCTGTCTCCAAATAGGTCTGACTGGCTCTGGTCTCATTTCTCCAGCTGCTTTCCCTCTCCCTGGGATGCTCCTCTTCCTAAGCTCTGCATGGCTGCCTGCTGGTGTCCTTCAGGTATCAGCTGAAAGATCACCTCCTCTGGGGAGCCTTCTTACAAACAGTCAATTTACAGTTGTCACATTGTCACGCATTCTAGTTTAATCTTCAGACTCTTTATTCCTGATATCTTTCTTGTTTCTTTGCCTTTTCTACTTATCACCACTAAAACCTAGTTCCATGAGAGGAGCGATGTGTCTGATGCATTATTCTTTTTGCATCAACATATAAAAAGTATTCAATAAATGTGTGTTGAAATACGGCTTGAATTAACTTGTTCATTTAACCCATATTCAATGAGGATTCAAGTATAAATTATTCTCTACTTAAAGAAACTGGATCCATTTGTTGTTGATTCTCTTTCTTGGTGAATTACTCTGTTCTCCCCTTTCTTACTCTTAAGCCTCTGTTTAGTTGGCTGAAAAATCGTAGTAATGTTTGCTAATTGTTTGAGCCTATGTAGATCAACCAATAAAAGCATTGCAAAGAAAGTGAAGAAAAATAATGATCCCATCTTCCATCATGGAAAAAGTCCGTGGCTCTCTTGGCGGTGGTCACTGACAGCTTTCTATTATCAGACTGCTGATTGGCAGGTAATGGTTATGCATGCTTACTTTCCACCAGCTGCTAGAATAGGAAGTGAAAATTGTAAGTTGCTTGCAAGCTATGAATGCACATTAGAGTAGCTTAAAAGCATTATTTCTCCATGGTAATAGAAAATTTTGAAATGCATTTGCTTCTGACTCTGATTTATTTGGATTTTCTGGCCCGAAATACAAAGTTTCAGCAATCCTTTTATTCAGTACCATCTGAGTGCCATCTGCTGGATTTCTCTGGTATGCCATTGAACCTGATAGACAAAATGAAAACAAGTTTGTGAACGACAAATGGCTATAAAATATCAGGACTTCCTTCCTTCCCCTGTCTCTATACAAATTTCAACTGTTCCCTATGTAGTTTTTAATTATGTATTTAATACTAATTTTCAAATAGCATCACATATATCTGAGGAAGAAATAAGTTTAAAATATTATAGATATCTTTATATCTTTTATATCTAGATATTTTTATAATATTAGAAATATTA